TCGAGGCAGGGGAAGGGGCCGAGATAGGTGTGAGGGTGGGGGTAGTGCGTGCGGATTTCGCGCGCGCGCGGATTTAAGGCAAAGGGAGGGGGTTGGGTGGGTACATTGAATATACGTGGCGTAGACCCTTTGGTAGTTGCCTAGGCCACGTAAGGGAGAAGGGAGAGGATGATGGCTAGAAAGAGAATAGCAAGAAAAAAGTAAAGGCAACTACTAAAACTCGGCTCGGTCGGTGCGTTTTGCGCCCCAGTGAGGCGTCTGGCATCTCACTATTTCGTATCGCCAGAAGGAAAATCCCCTTGGCAACGTGCCAGAGGAGTGGGGTGACGTTGCCCGTGCAGGAAGCAGAAGATGATGTGCTGGTGGCTTGCTGCGCAGTGTGGGTGCTTATAATATGCTGATGGTTTGCTGCGCAGTGTGCGTGCTGTTCATGCAAGAAACGGGCGCCGTATGCAAGAAAGGGGGTTTTGCAAAAGGGGGTTTTTTATCGCTTTCTTCCCATCATCATTCCCTTCCTAAGCATCATATTTTCTCATTCCAACCCAACGCTCTTTCTCATCACCTAAATCTCACCCAAGCATTATCATCATCATCACAATGAATCCTAATCCATGCCCGGAAAATTCGGCACTCTAGATGCTTCGTTTGGTGGATGACAATGTCAATGCTGTTAGCGTGCGCGCTTACTGAAACACAGTACTAGACCACGCTCAGAACATTTCAGCACTCCAGCTGCTGTGCTTGAGGAGTTACATCAAATCTAACGTGCTTGTGCGTGAGTAGCAACGTGAATATGCGTGCAGCATGGGAGGAACGTGAAAGTCGTCTTCGCGTGCGCATGTGGTCAAAGGTTACCGTCAGTTATGCTCAGGATAACGAAAAAGCAGCAGCAGCGGCAGCAGCACTACGAAAACCAGCAACTATGGCAGCGGCACGGGCAGGCGCAGCAACGGGGGTGTAAAAGGGGAAAAAAACCTAAAGCGAAAAGAGGGAAAAAGAGGGGATAGTACTGGTGAGGACTGAGGGCAGTGGGCGAACGACTCGCCTCCACCACTCAGTCCCAGTGAGTGGGAGACTACTGAGCTCCGTGCCCAAAACTTACGCTTATATAGGGGGAAAAAATAGGCGTTGCTAACGTAAGTATATAGATGACCTTAACCGGGCTGTAAAATGTGCCTACCGTATACCTAGCAAGCCACATACGGATGACCTGAGAGGCCACAAAACTCCTTCCCTTTCCCTTTTTTTAGGTTTCAATAGCCCTCACCGTATTTATAGCACAGGGCTTAACGGGCAACCTTACCCCTCGTCCACACAAAAAATTTTTGGCTAGTCGTGTAAGACACGAGCCGAGCCGAGTTTTGGTAACTGCAGAAGTAAAAGCAAGGAGGGCAAGCGCTTTACCCCCCGACCACACGTTCCACTTGCCGTGCAT